TCCTTCCTTCCTTCCTTCCTTCCTTCCTTCCTTCCTTCCTTCCTTCCTTCCTTCCTTCGTACCTACCTGCCTACCTACCATCCAGTTATGAATGAGAACATGGGGCATTTCTCTTTTCATGTCTGGTGTGTGTGGTTTTAAGAAGGACAGATTGGAGAAGCAAGCAGTCTAGGGGATAGAAAGGGAACTAAACAGCATCCCAGTGAAAGCTAGATCAGGCTTTCTCACACCACGATGGAGAACACTCGAAGAACGAAGATGCAGCTACTTTGTCCAACCGAGCCTAGCTCTTCAAAATGAATTTGACAAGACAATGGGTAGAAATGTATTATACGCTCACCAGGAGTTTGGTTGGATTTGAGACATTTGAAATTAAGGAAACTTAGTGCACTATCGAATATATCACATCTTCTACCTGAAATGAAAGTTTCAAAGTTTGATGGATTCATTGTTCCTATATGCGTAGTAAGGAATTTAGCCTCATCCAAAGAGGTCTGGCCTTTCTCCCCCGCTAACCTCTAAATGCTTGGGATTTCCCAAGTGATGGGAAAGTCTTTGTTATTCATGATGGGCCCCTGTCCCACGCCTGATAGTTGGTAATGTGCTAACTCAGGGTGGGGAGGGCCGCATCTTGTAGGCTAAAGTGGGAAATGGCCGTGCCAGAAAGAGCAACTCTGTGTTGAAAGGATGGGAGCTTTGTGATATCAGCTCGAACTCCAAGGAATTTTCTTTCTTTTTTTTTTTTTAAAGATGACTGGTAAGGAGATCATAACCCTTGGCTTGGTGTTGTCAGCACCACGCTCAGCCAGTGAGCAAACCGGCCATNGAGGGTTGCGATCCGTTGCCGGTCACAAAAAAAGACAAAAAGGAAAAAAAAAAAGAAAAAAAGAAAAAAAAAAAAAGAAAACAACTGTTGTTAATTTATATATTGTTTAGTCATCTTCTCTTTTCCATAATTTTTCTTTTCTTTTTTTTTTTCCTTTTTGGTAGGTCTTTCTTTAGAGTAGAAAATACTTTTTGTTCAATTTAATAAAGTTTTAAACATTTAATAAATTAAAAAATTATTTTCCAAAAGCTCAAAAGGGTTGATGTCCTATAAAATTGGAACCACTTTTGATTTGGATTCTTAGCCAGCCTCTGATGGCTTCTTTCAAACACACACATATAAACATTTGCACGCAGCACTGAACAGATTTTGAGTACCTGTTAGTGGGGCATATATTTGTGTGACTGACCCTCTTCCAGGTGGAACCTGACATCTCCATGTATAGAACCCCTGAATGATTAAACTCTCAGTTTACAGAAATCACTCACTGGTGTGTGAACACAGGAACTATGAAACCCCAGCCCTCTCAAATATATTTGGGAGATGAGGGGAGTATAGATTTTATTTCCCTGAAGGGAAAAGCTGAGGGAAAAGCCGGAACTTGCAGAAGCAGGAAAATCATAAACCATCTTAGAGAAAATGGACATCTGGTTTCCATATCGGATAGGCACCTATCCGATAGTTCTCTATGATGATCATTCTAGTAATTAGTTACTGCAATAATAGCACTGTGCAACAAACCACCGCAACTCAAAACCCAGTGGTTTAAAAGAGCTGTCATGTTCTCCCACTTGTGCATGTGGGTGAAGGCTTGACCCCCAGCTGCAAGCTGATCGGGGCTCACGCCCCTCCATCTGCCCCTCCATCCTCCCTGGCACAGGGCACCACTGGGGGGCGCTCTTCTCACAGCCATGACAGAAGCACAGAGGGCAGCTCAACCAGACACACTGTAGGCCTCTGCCTTTTTCTGCTCACAGGTCATTGGCCAAAGCCAGTCACATAACCCAGCCAAAGTCAAGGGCAGGGAAATCTAGTGGGAGAGGCTGCAAAGTTGCAGGCAGAGGGCAAGGATACAGGCAGGGGTGAAGGACTGCAGCGAATAACACAATCTACCAGGGTCCTCTTTAAACCCTGACGCCAGTAAACGATTCTCTCCTACACAGCATTTTCACTTGATGGTTTAATTAATGAATGAATTCACATTTAATCATTCTTTTAGTCATTTATTTATTATATTCATTCCGGAAACAAAACTGTATTGAGTGTGTCAGGAAGAAATAGGATGGAGTGAATAAAAGTCTCATTTCTAATGTGTTTTTTTTTTTTTAGATGACCAATAAGAGGATCTTAACCCTTGACTTGGTGTTGTCAGCACCGCACTCTCCCAAGTGAGCCACAGGCCAGCCCCTCTAATGTGTTTTTAAAAAATTATTATTAGTATTAGCATATTCATTATTACAAATAGTAATTTTTCTTTATGCCCTTTACCCGACCTATCACTCCACAAACCCCCTCTCTCCCTTCCCCCATCTCTAGTATCCTTAGGTTTGTTCCCTCCTTCTGAAAGTCCAATGTGTTGTTGTGGTCTCTTCCTTCCTTCCTTCCTTCCTTCCTTCCTTCCTTCCTTCCTTCCTTCCTTCCTTCCTTCCTTCCTTCCTTCCTTCCTTCCTTCCTTCCTACCTGCCTACCTACTATCC